GTTCTGACCCATACACCCACCGAAGTTCTGACCCTGAAAGTCATCATACCGTTCCCTCCGTATTTGGTAACATTCTGTTGTCTAAAGGGTATTAAACCAGAGAAGGAATTAGATCTTCTATCAACATTGAGATTTACCTTATTCTCACTTTGAGTGTAAATTAAAATTTAAAGTGCTACAAAGCCTGGGAATAGAACCCAAAACGCCACAGATTTTCGCGTGAATCACAGAGGGTAAGTGGGTAACCAGATGGCTGGACCATTCTTGAAATTAGAGCAATAGGCATGGTTAATTGCGTCAAGACGTCATCACACCTGCTAACTGCAATCCTGAATTAAGATGATTTGCAGCCTAACGCTGGCCAAGAAATAATCCAAACTCTGAAACTGTCCAATCAATATCCCTACTCAAGTGGGAAATCATCTGTTATTGACACATTTCTTTGTAGGAGGCTCTTCACGGCAGTATACGCTGCCATGAGTCTCTTTGGGAATCTGCTGAGCTAGCCCCAAGTGCTCAAAGAGGTAATAATATCAGAAAGTTTAATTTGATTGTATTCGTCGTAGCTGCGCGTCCTGTTCGTCCTAAAACTCTAATGAAACTTTCCGATTAGGCTACTTTTGCGTCTCACGCTTTGATGAAAAATAAGATCTACCATAATTTTTCACGAGTCGTCTTTCGGCCGGGGCAACTTTCAATCAAGGCGGGGGATACAGGTTAATCTTATCAAACTTTAGAGACGCTCAATGTCCAAAAGCCAGCCACAAACTATATTTTTCTAAATGGAGAAGAACATGAATACGTGTTGTTCGACCCAAAGTTCAAAGAGCTAGTCAAATGCTAAGCCCAGAGGTACGATGTTTTGTCGTACTCGTCTAGAGTGAAAGAAACACGCGACTCCAGCCAGTCTTCTAGCACCTAGCCAAGAGAAAAATAAGATATCAGGGTGGTGTTGTGGAAAGACGAAACCAAGGTAGTCTAATATTTTGAATGCTGTTCTTGTACCACTTTGGGAGAGAGAATCCAAGTTACGAAAATCGGTAATTATGTATGTAGAATCGTGGCCTGAAAATGAATGTCCTTATCTCAGTATTTGCAGGTATAGAGGTAAAATAAACTAGCTTCAAACTCGCTCAAACCAAAAGGAAATTGTGCACTCTAGGCTGAGGTTTTAAGTATAGAAGTAATGAGAGATCCACAAGCATACACTCCACAAAGCTCATGAAATTATTGGTGTACATTCCAACAATAAAGTTTGTGTATATTCCCACTTAGAAATAGGGACTATTTTTCTGGTTAGAAATTGGATGGGTGGCCGAGTGGTTAAGGCGGCAGATTCAAGTCCTGTTGACGTAAAGTCGCGCGAGTTCGAATCTCGCCTCATTCATTTTTTTTTCCGAACAAGCTTAGCTTAGAGGATATCTGCGTCTACAAGCCCAGAAATACTTGCAAGCTTGCAGGAAGTGGCTGATATAAAACAAACACGAGAACCTGCGAAACTATCCCTTCCAATGATTCTTCGTAATGTGCATAATCAGAATAGGACCGATGGGTTTCCAGCCAAGAGTTTCTATCGTGAACTTATTAGAGACATGATTATCAACAACAATGATCATCCCGAACCAAGGGCCAGCTACCTCAAACACTTCTTCTTTGGTGAGGGGCTTAACTTCAAGGTCCTTTCTTTTTGCAATAGCGGCAGCTTCCATGAAACAGATTCTTCCTTCTCCAACTCCGTGAAATATAGCACCAGCCATGCCCTCTTTGTCAGCCAGTCTTTTCAATGGGCCACAATCGCCTGTGAGCCGCTGGCCACTTGTTCTGACCTTCTCTGCAGTAATAGGTATATCCATTTTTTTGAACATATCAGCAAATAAGTGCGTAAAGCTCACTTCCTTAGACCGATGTACAGAAGGTGCTCTTATGACGGTGACTACTTTATCGCCCATCACGAAAAAGGTCAAGGCGACATTCTTGTTGATGGCTCTTTCTTTAACTAGGGGGTGATATTAGTCATAACCAATTCGTCATCTTCATGTTCAATTTTTCCAGAATTAGCAACGAAAGTAGTACCCCCAGTGATGATGAGTACTTTGTTTGTACCAACGTACTCTTCTTCAATCGCCTTGATCATATCTCTGTCAAGTGAAATAGCGGCGTCCTAATCTCCAATGTTCGAAGCAAAACCTAAATGAAAAGCTCCATCGAATTGTTTGTCATAGTTTACCAAGCTGTCAATGTCCTCTAAATTTCCTTTCACGGGTTGAAAACCAAACCCTTGTAGTGTTTTACTAGCAGAACCAAACCTGGCTAAAGCAAGAACAATGTGGCTATGAGACAACAAGTCCTTCACTACTCTGCAGCCAATAAACCACCAGTGTTCAGTAACAAGATACTTCATTTTTGTTGTGAAAGTGAAGAGAGAGGTCCTTTTGTGGTTTAAATATTAGGTATTTGCATCAAAGAAGATATCTTGTTTTCGGTGCACATGATAACCGGACGCATTCCCGAATTGGGAACCAGTATTCATTTCGCAATTAACACAAATATACACGGAACGTGAATAAGGGGCACATGCCATGACAGTATGAATGAGTTGGCAGGGACCCATGTAGATGTAATATATTGAAGTACGTAATCACTTATCGTCACTGATCATCACGCTTTCTGTTTTCATCGGTGAACTGAGAAACTCTATCCTTATTCTTCAGAGCTACGTGCACTAACTGCACAAATGCTCCCTGGGTCAAATCCTTCTTTCTCTCAGGCGAGTTAAGCTTTGAATCTTCAGTCATGGGCTTCGATAACGAAGATTTGGACATTTCTGCGTCTGGTAGTGCCTGTTTGAATTTCCCCCAAGAGATTAATGGGTGGGCAGTGTTCTTCTGGGCATCTTTGATGGCTTCTTCAGAGACCAAGGAGCCTTCGTCCCCAAATATATTGATTTCGTTTGGATCGTCGTCGTCCTCCGTTTGAATATCTTTCAATTTGCTGACACGGTTGTTCAACATGACCAACTCAATAGCCTGCTTGAACTTGGATTTACCATCGAATTTAGCCTTGATTTGTGGCAACAAGTCCATCTCCTTGTGCTCCTTGGCGACATCAATGAGCCATGGGTCGTTCAAGAGCTGATCGACCGTGGGTCTGTTGTCAGGGTTAAATTGTAATGCTTTGATAATGAATCTTCTTGCATCTTTAGAAACGCTCTTCCAGTAATCTGCGTGAAATACGACCCCATTGTTGTTTTTGACCTCTTCTACGAAGTCGTGGACGTTCTCCGACCGGAATGGCGAGTAGCCACATAACACAGTATAGGTTATAACTCCCAAAGACCAGATATCACAGGGTTTACCATGTCCAAGACCCATAACCACTTCGGGAGCAGCATATCCAAACGAACCAGCCGACGAATGAATCTTATCGTCGGCACTTTGAAGTTTTTTGGCGATTCCAAAGTCTGCCAATACAATATTGGAGTTGTCCTCAGGGGTCAAATACAAAATATTTTCAGGCTTCAAGTCTCTATGGACAATGTTCTTGTGGTGCAAATACTGAAGAGCCTCTAAGACTTGCACAATTACTAACGAGGCATCGTGTTCGGTGAAACGCCCCTTTTTGATGATTCGATCAAACATTTCTCCCCCGGTTGCCAATTGTGTAACAATATAAAACTTATCTTTAGACTCAAACCAGTCTCTGAATCCCACAACGTGGGGGTGCGACAACTCCAGTAATAAGTCCAACTCGGCAAGCACTGTGTCTTCATGTCCCTTCAAGGCTTTCTTTAAAATAATTTTAACTGCTACTTCTTCACCAGTGTCAAGATTGCGGGCGTATCTAACAATTCCAAAAGATCCAGCTCCCAAAGTCTTCCCAAAAATGTACTGAGCCTTGCGACCGTATGACTCTGGTTGGCCATTGATTTTGTTGATGAGCTTTTTGAGATGGCTCCCCTTATCGAAGTTCTCCATCTGGTATGAGTGTTCAATATTCCAGCTCGTCTCAGCCTTTATTTCGGTTGCGCGACGTGCGCATATTTCAGTTCATCGGGACGGTTGCAAAAGGACACGACCGGGTTTTAGGTTGCGCTACCGCCTATTGACTTCGCCAGGCAGGTTGAGGCTGATGCTGCTAAGTATGCAAATAAAGCTTGAAAGTCAGATTTCCTTGCTGGTACTCTCTGTAAAAATGATACTCTCTTTCCTTCCGCTGCTTATCGCAGATCAAGCCTATGCTCGACATTTTGAGAAAATTGATTCAGGTGAGAGAATACATGACTGAACCAAAACAGCAAAGGGCCATCAAAAAGCGGAAGTACAGCCGAGCTGGGTGTCAAGAGTGTAAGAGGAGGAAGATAAAGGTACGTGTACTGCTTTTCGACATGTCGAATACCCGTATTAACTGATGGTTTACAGTGTGATGAATTCAGACCCATCTGCCAAAACTGTTCAAAGGCCAAAAAAGAATGTTCGTTCCAGAGTCTGACTGCAGCACCCGACGAGTCCACAAAGGGAGATTCGAGTGGTCTCGAAAGCTATAGAGTGGTATCAGTACCGCTGGTAGTATCCACTTCTAATGGGAAAGCCGTCTCATCATCGACAACCATAAAACCACCAGTGGATGGACAATATGGATTTTCAAACTTTGCGGATAGTTCACTTTCTTTTCCATCAGGAACAAACCCCATAAGATCCCAATCACCTCCCAACTCCCAAAATGGAGCTGATGTGAGTAAAAGTAGAGATATACTAAGTTATTCCACTGGTAATGATGAGCACGCCTTATACTCTAGTGCATCGGTATTTGCCCATGACTTGACAGATCTTCTCGAGGTTCGAATGGATGACATTCCTGAGAACTTGGTGGACTACAGGACTCCGTTGTTTGAAGACAAACTGCCTCTCAAGTCGATTTCAGAAGATCTATTTAATGACCATTCCATCCAAAATTTGATTGTAGCCTACGACATGGTGGATGGATATAAGAACTACTTGAGGTTGTTCTACGAGAAGTACTCGCTCTGGTTGATGCCCCTCTCCCCCGTGAGTGGGCTGAAGAATTTCTTTAAAAAGGTCATTATTCATCAGGCTCAAAGATACCCATTTCTTCTTAATGCCATTTTTTCAATCACCGCTGCTTTTGAGTACGAGGCTACCAAGAGTCCCACAGACGAGTACTATCGGAGGTTTTATGTGAGCTTGAGTTTGAAGGGGTTAAAAGACGCCTTTGACCATATGGACAAGAACAATGATGTGATACACTACATTGAACCCTTGATCTTAACGAGTTTATTGTTTGTTACCCAAACAGCTGCAGCCACTAATGGCTCCTGGAGAGACCATTTGCGGGGCGCTAACAATCTTTTCAAACAATACTTGTCCATTCGCAAGGTATCCTCACCAGTTATCTTGATAGCTACCACTTGGTTTGCATCATTCGAAATCATTGCCTCCATGACAAACCCTGTAGGTGGCTCTATCAAAACGGAAGAGCTCTTAGAGGATATATTGTTACCAATTCTATACAAAGATGATTGGAACTTGGCCATACAATTGGGTCTTGTATTACCCAGCGGGTATAACGTTTTTCTAGGCCAGTCTTCTGCAACTGTTTTTCTATTTATTCGATTCTTGAAGTTGTCCCTCAAGATCAAAAACAGTGCATTCAAAATAGCAGATTCAGATGACTTGTTGGAAATTGCTTCTTTGGCTGAACAAGCATTGAAACTCAGTGTCACTTCTCAAAATGGGCTCATTGAGCCTACAAGTCCATACCATCCCAAGACAAATGGGATAAACTTTCTTCCTTATGAAACTTATGGATATAAAGACGACATTGTGTTCTCTTGGTTTGATATTAGTGATAAAATCCACCTAAGGGGGCTATACTTGACTGTGTTAACAGATCCTATGTATTTTAATTTGCCGGTTGAGAGTCTATTGGTCCAGGACGTGGTTCACAAAATATTGGACATGTGCCACTTTTACCATGGTATTGATTTCAGTAACCTGGACACTTTTGATTTCGATGCTGTCATCAAGGCGAACCCCATTCTTCACGATAGAAGATTGCTCATGCTCCATTCATCCTTGTTGAAATGTGGCTTGTGCTGTGTCGACAAGGTTGATAGACTACGGATCCAATTGTATTTTAAATCCATGATTAGTTTTGGAGCCACAACTGTGGAAAACTCGTATAGACAGATTCAGGCTGGCTGGAGAGGAGATAAGAAAAACTTGGATTTCGTACCCTATTTATAATCTATGTAATTTTATTCAATGTACTATTATCATTATCACAAATCGTTATATGGAGTAGAGTATATTTTGGGAGGGTAAGGAGGATTATCATACAATTCAAACTCGTTGTATGTTTTTAGTACATAATCCTCGAGTTGTTTGCAGAAGGCAATTACGTCCTTTTGATCGAAATGGCCCTCCTTTCTCTTCAACTGTTCTTTCTTGTGCTTTAACATTTCCTCCAATCTGGAAAACCGATATTCACACCAAGCCGGGTAATATTCATCATGGATAGAACGAGGGAGCACTGAAGGCTTGAACGAAGTTAACACCGTTGTATCTGTGATTTCTACTGATTCTGGAATATACCCAACTACGGAGGAAATTCTTTCGTGGTTCGTCACCGGTTTGGTAGCAACATGCCTTACAACTCTTCCTTGTAAAAGGCAAGCGTAGCCGACCTTTGGTTCGCTGATACTAATGACCCTTTCATTTCCATCGATCAAACCTGTTTTTCCCCCAATCATATCATCGTTTGTAGACAACATCAACACGATGACAAACGAGTTGGAGTCATAGTGCCAGTCGTAAATCGTGGCCATATCCGCTTCTTCTCCCATTTTTTGGCCTACAGGGAAATCCTTGTTGATCAAAGAAGCATTTATATGGGCGATTTCATAGTCAAACATGATTTTCAAGTTGATTCCAGCAATATTGTTGAGAATCTCTTGAGTTCTGGGATGGGTCCAGGCTGCCTTTGTGAAAGGAGCATGGTTAATATACCCACATATCTGAAAATCCAACGAGGTGAACCCTCTGGCGAGTTTTGGAAGCCTTCCATATTTATCAAGACATTTCAATTGGAAAGATTCCCATTTCATCATATCACAAGCTTCTTTTGTGAACAATGGGAAGGGGTCGGTTACAGCCAAGTCCGAGACTCGAGGCACGTGAGTCTTGTGTATACCTAAGTCTTGCAAGGTCAACTTACGGAAAGTGTCGTAGTCTTCATCCTTGTAGAGAATATGCTCATTTGGATCAAATTTTATGTTGGGATTAAACTTGGGTTGAGATTCCAATGAATCAAGAAACTCTGCAATTTCTTTATTAATAGTTTCCAGTGGGATTTTGAGCGATGGAGAGCCATTAAGCACATCTTCAGTTAGAGGACTTTCCATAGTCTTTACCACAGATGTAAAAGGGGGGATTGTTGAAATTAGTGGAATAATGTATAAAGAAAAGGAATTCCACCAAGACGGAATTGCTGCGGAATTTGCGAGTTTATCTGCCGAGATAAATCCTTTTTTCACGGAATTTGTGATAATCCCTTGGTAGTTTCACAGGGATAAGCCTGAAAGGAGGTGTGATGTCATTGTAGTTGGATAATAAGCAATGCCTTGGAAGACGACGCTTTGATTTTGATCACGTGATCGGAGATCAACACGACATGCAGATGTAAGACTCGAGTTAACAGGTCACGAAGCATATCGGCATGTACAGCATGTATTTAGGTATTTAGAATGTCCCTTGTAGCCCTCTCAATTGAGGGTATTGCCTATGGTAATCTGAAAATTCAAATATCGTCATCTTACAGACTATTTCCTAACACTTTGAAAGGTTGCGATACTGTGATTTGATACCTTTTACAGTATCCTATTTAGTGGCCAAGACAAAGAAAAACAATGTGAACAGAAGATTATTCATACATACACTAAGCCATACTAATGCTCGAATAGTCTCGTGAGAGGTGGGATACTGACCCACCCCGTACAATTCCCCAGTCCAATACTCATTACGCAATGTCTATCGGTTTTTGTTGTGGGGAAATCTCAATCCAATTCTGCGAACTGTTACTAGATTCTATATTCAATGATACCGATACCCTTACTTGCATTAGTGGCACCAGCACTATGCCTCAAAGCTTTCGATAACGGTGTAGGACACACACCACAAATGGGGTGGAATTCATGGAATAAGTATGGGTGTAATATCAACGAATCGGTGATCATCTCAGCTGCGGAAACCATGAACCAGTTAGGACTTTTGCAGTATGGTTACGAATATATCGTCATGGATGACTGCTACCAGTTGAAGGAAAGAGACTCAGAAACTGGGAAAATCGTCGTAGATCCACAAAGGTTTCCCAATGGTATCAAATACTTATCCGACAGAGTCCATCAATTGGGGTTTAAATTTGGCATGTACTCTTCCGCTGGCAAATTTACCTGTGGACGGTACCCTGGGTCTTTAGGTTATGAGGAACTCGATGCACAAACTTTTGCAGACTGGGGAGTGGACTACCTCAAGTATGACAATTGTTTCAATGAAGGCATGAGTGGTAACGAAAAAATTAGTTCTGACCGGTACTTGAAGATGTCACAAGCACTCAATGCTACTGGCAGAACCATCTTCTATTCTTTGTGTCAATGGGGTGAAGATAATGTATGGAACTGGGGAACAACCTTATCAAATTCCTGGCGTGTCACTGGAGATATCTATGATAGTTTCAACCGCTACGACGATCGGTGTCCTTGTGAGCTGTTTGACTGTGCAGGGATCCAAGGAAATCTGTGCTCCATGGTGAATATCTTTGAAAAAGCCATTCCGCTCGCTCAGAAATCTGGACCGTTTGAAGGGTGGAATGATCTCGACAGTTTGGAAGTCGGCAATGGTGGAATGACCACAAACGAATATAAAGCCCATTTCACGCTTTGGGCTATTTTGAAAAGTCCATTGGTATTGGGAAACGATCTTCCACGAATGTCGCAGACAGATTTTGCAATCATCACCAACAAGGATATTATTGCCATAAATCAGGATTTCTCGAGTCCTGCCGTGCGGGTGTGGAAAAGGGCTGTCAAGGGTGGGCATTTACTGCTTTTGGTGAATAAATTAGCTGACCCGTACGTCTTTACTGTAACGTTGTTCAATAGCGGAGATAGAAAGGAAAGGTTGGAGGTCAAATTCTCGGATATTTTTTTTGACCACCCAGGCTTCCAGGAGTCCTCCTTTACTGCCAGAGACCTTTGGACAAACGAGACGATGGACGTCAAACAGCGGTTTTTTACGGCTGTGAACAAACACAGTGTGAAGGTTTGGAATTTTGTGCTTACCGATACAGTGGCAGCAAATTCCGGTTGGGGAGCCAATTTGCGGTCAATTTGGCACCTCTGTGTCGACACTATTCTTGTATCGAAGCAGATAAGTTAACATCTCAAGGAAAAAGAGAATCTGGCTTTTCCTGCAGACATGGCACATTTTACTATTTGAATGGCAGATACAATCATTTCCTGAATAAACTAAACTTGAATGATCGGTAAATGTGGTACTAACAATCTCAAACAATACAATACCATCTTGATATTACCTATTTGATTCCAGTAGTACACATGCAACTAAGGGGATGGGAAACTGTCAAATTTACGTAGCCGTAGGCTCTTTTATCACCGCATCTGTAGGGACCATACTCCACTCATTTTCAATCTCATCATATTCCCTTTTGCGAGGGATGACACCAAACCCTATATTTTTATACTGGTAATAGGACCACATAGGGCCCAACCAACTAAACTAACCCTAATATTGTACGAAATATGCCGGTAATACAACGGAAGCGGGTTTATTTTTAGATGCGCACGCCAAAACTGACAGGAATTAAACCTTATTTACGGAGGCCTCATTTACGCAGCCCTATAAAAAAGAGTCATTTCCTCCCTTTATGTTTATTTGTGATTGACCATTTTCTGATGAAGTGGATTATACTTGTTTTCAGTCTCTTCATAAACCTGGTGTCTGCACGGTACGGTGCTTATATCTCCTTGCATAAAAATGAAGAGTGGGGGCAAACCTCAGATTGCTTTACCGTCCAAGGGGGTAAATCGGCATATATACAGATTGAAATCCTGAAGTTTGAACTCTTAGATCTTTCTAAAATAAGATATAGTGAACCATCGGAGAAACTTCCTGAACCGTCGGAGAAACTTCCTGAACCATCGGAATATAAGTTGCCAACATTAATGTACTATATGAGTGATAGAGAAAAGTTTCAAGATTTCCCTAATTATGATTCTGATTTTCCTGAAGGTGGTACATTTAATACCACACTTAAAGAGCCCGGGTCTCTTGACAGCAGCAGATATGTCAACTCCTTCTTAAGTACTGACAAAACGTCAAGTAATTTTCAACTTCGTCTTGAAGCTCCTCAAACTGGTAAGTACTGTGTATTTATGCACAGTCCAGAGACAATAGGCTTCGAAGCCCCCATTGAAATTCGTCACGAATACGGGTATTTGGAATTTAGTCATTATCAAGAATATTTACAAGATAGGAGGGCATACTTTGCTTTATTGGCTTTAGTGATTGTGTGTATGGTCGACATGACGGTTTTCGCAGGCTTTAAGCTATCAAAACCAAGCAAGCTCTCGATTATCACCAGGTCAGTGGTTGCATTGATTCTTCTCCCATACTTGTTCCTCCAGGGTACCTCGTTGATTTTTGATTCCTGGTTAAATATCCAGGACAACGGAAACTCGGGATTGGTATTTGTCTCCAAAGAATTTATTCAATGGCTTAAAAAGAGCTTTCTCATAGTCACTGACTTCTACGTTCTTGTGTTCTGTTTAGGATATGGTACTATCTATTACCATATACCTACTAAAAAATATCAACAATTACTGTTAACTGATGTCAAAGTTGGCCTTGCAATAATGGTGGCTAGGCTTTTCATGTTCTTTATTGATGCCAGTGCAGATGCCTACTCAATGGCAGTTCACACCAAAATCTTGGATGATTATCCCGACTTATATGAGAATGATCATATCGGTACATTATTAGGATACTCGTATGATTTAATCCGGATTCTCGGTGAATGCAGCATATTGCTAAGCATTATTTACGCCTTGAGAACCAGAAAAAGCTTCTTCGAATTCATTCCAGATGTGTCTATGAAAGAGAAGTACGGAGTCAGAAACATAAAGATCATGAGATTATTCATTGCTACTGTTTTAATAGTGTGGTTGCTTCCATTATTGTTGCATGTCTATAATGATATGGCAATCAATCGTCTTCATAATAAGTTCTACCCAAGGCCTGCAAAAGGAAGCCATTTTCATATAGACTTTTATGACAGTACCCGTGCTAAACGATGGATGTTGGACATTGCTATTGCCAAAGTTGAAACATGGACAAAGGCAGCTGGAAGGTTAACCTTCACGATTCTTTTCTACGTATTCTGGGTTAGGCCCAATAGAGGATTAGTGTCCGATGAAGTTGAGTATAGTCCACTTGCGTAGATATTGAGTGAATATACATCAGAAGTATAAAACATTGGAAATGAGCAAATTATAGGGTTGAAATTCAATGCTATCCTGCATCACGTGCGCAGATAAAGAGCCAATTGGATGCAGCGCAGGAATCCCGTTTCATGTGGGCCCCGACAGGGATAGGGCGAAACGGGACTGGAATAAGGCGACGGCAAAGGGGCATATGACTCAAAATTAGTCATACTGACAGAGGGACAAAATAATCAGACAGCTGTCCAGGTACGGTCGTACGGTACGGTCGTACGGTACGCACGGGAACCGATGGGTCCACGCAGAGAGCATTGTACTGCTAAAAAAAGAAGTCGCCAAGAAGGCGCAGTACCTCGGAAAGGGAAGCAGGCCAAGTTCCGATGTGCCGGAAAACCTCCATAGCGTGTCCACAACCGCCAAAGTCAGCTGAGCCACGCAACCTCTGCGTCCCACAATCATCCACCGCGGAAACGGAGGCAGTGGCAAATCCAAAACAGAAATTCTTTTGGAGTCGCAGCCGTGCGTGCAGATCGTTTGCAGGCAGTTTCCAAACAAATAAACAAACAGTATTATACGAGAGCCATGTTTCAAGACCATCCACCGGGGATCCTGGAATCTCCCGGAATTATTAGATGGACCTACCGGCAAAGTCCCATTAATGTTCCACCTAGTCACCTACCAATGTACTTAACTATCAGTCGGAAATGATGACATCACAACCGCCCCTGGGATGCCATACCCAGCCCTCCACCAGGGGCTCCTGATAATACCTTGCGAACAGTTGCATTGCTTATTAATTAATCCTGCATCATTGCCGGAACTAGTTCTCACCCAAAATCATCGGAACATTTAGGCTGCGACAAGCCGTTTTCACCTGCCTCTGCTCAAGTAACTTCCGTTACCATAGATTAACCACCCCTTTGACCCCCATGAAAAAAACTGGAAACAGCATCGGAAGTCAATCCCCAAGTTCCTGCCTAGTCACAAGCAGGACTGCAGTCCGTTAACTGCTCCAAATCCCTCCGTCCTCGCGCTCACCTTTTAGTCCCCGTCTCCGCCGGATCTTAACCCTTCCGAAAACTTTTCGCCGCTCAGTACATATATATTTATTAGGTTTCCTCTATTTTTTCGTACCGTAATTTGCTATGTCTGACAGTGGAAAAGAGAGCAACTACGAGGACTCTCATTCGGTCCACGATTTTGTGGGTCAATCACCCGCCAGCCACGGCGGTGAGTCTCCCGAAGAGGCCGATTCCATTGCT